TGCCATGTCTGTGATTTTACTTTCTTCCTCCTCATTTTAACCATTTGTAGCTTCAACTATTAAATCTTAGATTGCATCTAAGATCCTGAGGTACTGCTAAGAGCTTCTAGGAATACTCTGAATGGAAAATAAGGGAAAAGTGGAAATAATGACAGAGTCAGGATAGTGTGATGGTGGCTTCAGTGTAGTTAACAATTTTTTTCTTATGATTAATGTTAGTATGTCATGTTTAAGGTATCCTTCTCCATTCCAAGGTCATACAGATATTCTCCTATAATCTTTCCTAAAAGTTTTTAAAATTAGAAAATCCCTGACACTATCTTTTCCTTTTTTATTTTTTCTTAGTCTATCTGTACAGTATATAATGAATACATTCATTATTCATATACATTGTTCATATGGGTAGTTGGTGCATATAGGTGCCGTATCATGTCAATTCTTTTTATGTCCCCTTCCCTCTTCCACCACCTTCCTTCCTCCTCATTGCTCCATCTGTTGGTCCCCTTCCCATTTTCAGAAGAGGTATCTCCCTGTTTATTATTTTTTTTTATTTTGTGCTTTAATTTATTTATGCTTTGAGGTTCTCATAAAAGAAACCACACAATATTTAAGCTTGTGTGTCTGATTTAGTTCAGTTAACATTATGGATTCAAGGTACATCCATTTTCCTACAAATTACTCAAACTTACACTTCCTTACAGCAAAGTTGTACTGTATTCCATTGTGTGTATTTATTTATTTATTTATTGGGGCGTGCTGGGGTTCGAACTCAGGACCTTGTGCTTGGAAGGCAAGCGGTGCCATTGAGCTAGATCCCTGTCCCTCCATTGTGTTTAAACATCGCATTTTCTTTATTCATTCATCTCTTGATGGACCTATAGGCTGCTTCCAAGCTTTAGTTACTGTGAATTGTGCTTCTATGAACAGAGGTGTTCATATGTTAATCACTGTAATTGATATCTCTAAGTTTTTTGGAAAGATACCTAGTAGGGGAATAGCTGGGTTGAATGGAATTTTAGTTTTTTGAGTACTCACCACACTGAAATCCAGTACTAGTTCACTTTCCCACTCACAAAGTAGAAGCAGTCATTTTCCCGTGCAGCCTCACTAGCACTTGCTATTATTTGATCTCTTGATGATAGCCATTCTTTCTGTAGTAAGGTAGAATCTTGGTATTATTTTAATTTGCATTTCTCTACTGTTGAACATTTTTTCATGCATTTCTTGGCCATTTGTGTTTCTTCTGAAAAGTGTCTTTATTTCAATGGCTTATTTTTTTATTGGGTCTTTTGGGGGGGGATCTAATTTTTTGTTGTTTATATATTCTTATTAATCCTGTCCAGAGTGTAGCTAGCAAAAACTTTCCCCCATCATGTAGGTTGTCTCTTTACTCTGTTGGTTGTTCTCTTTGCTGTGCAAAAGTTTTAAAATTTGATATAAACCCATTTGTTGATTCTTGATGTTATTTCTTGCACAATTGGAGTTCTGTTCAGAAAGTCCTTTCCTAAGCCTGTTTTACTTATTTTATCTTCAAGCTGGTTAAATATTTCTGTTTTAACATTTAGATCTTTGAGTCATTTCAATTTTAGTTTAGTGTATGGTGAAAAACATGGGTCTAGCTTCTGCGTGTGATAGCCAGTTTTCCTAGCACCATTTGCTAAAGAGGCTATCTTTTTTCCAGCACATGTTTTTAGCTCCTTTGTCAAACTTTCGATAGCTGAATCTGAGTCTGGGGCTGTTTCTGTGTCCTCTATTCTGTTCCACTAATACACACGTCTGTTTTTGTGCCAGTACCATACTATTTCTTATGGTAGTTTTGTATTATAACTTGAAGTCCAAGATTGTAATGCCTCCTGTTTTGCTCTTGTTGCCCAAGATTGCTGTTACCATTTTGGGTCTCTTCTGGTTCCATATGAGCTTTTGGATTATTTTCTCTAGTTTTATGAAGAATGTTGTTGGGATTGCATTAAATCTATATGTCAGTTTGAGAAGTATGGCCGTATTGACAATGTTGGTTCTGCCTATTCGTGACCAGAGAATGTCCTTTCATTTTCTAATGCCTTCTTTGATCTCTTTTATGAATACTGTAGCTTTCATTGTAGACATCTTTCACTTCCTTGGGTAGGTTAATTTCTAAGTACTTAACTCTCTTGATGCTACTGTAAATGGTATTATTTTCTCAACTTCTTTTTCAGTGGTTTCTTTATTGGTGTACAGAAATGCTGTTGATTTTTGTGTGTTGCTTTTGTATTCTGCTATATTACTGAATTTGATTATTAGTTCTAAGAGTTTTCTGATGGAAATTTTTGGACCTTTTATGTAAAAAATCATGGCATCTACAAATAATGATAATTGACATATTCCTTTCTTTTCTATAGCATTTTATTTCTTTTTCTTGCCTGATTACTCTAATTAATGTTTTTTGTTTGTTTGTTTGTTTTGGTACCAGGGATTGAACTCGGTCTTTGGGCTTGCAAGGCAGGCCACCAAACCACTGAGCTAAATCCCCAGCCGTAATTAATGTTTTGAGTACCATATTGAACAGGAGTGGTGATGGTGGACATCCTTGTCTTTATCTTGATTTTAGAGGAAAAGGTTTTGGCCTTTCCTTATTTAATATGATATTAGCCATTAGTTTGTCATAAATGGCTTTTATTGGATTGAAGTAAGGTCCTTCTATGCCTGTTTTCTTCAGTGTTTTTATCATGAATGGATGCTGGATTTTGTCAAAAGCTTTTTATGCATCTATTGATATGATCATGTGATTTGCATCCTTGCTTCTCTTTAAATGATGCATTACATTTATTGATTTGTAAATGTGGAACTATCCTTTCATCCTTGGTCAAGATGTGTTACCTTTTTGACAGTTTGTTGCATTTCATTTGTCAGTATCTTGTTAAGGATTTTTGTGCTTATGTTCATTAAAGAGATTATACTATAGTTTTCTTTTTTAGTTGGGTCCTTGTCTGAGTTTGAAATTACAGTAATGCTAGCTTCTGTGGGTGAATTTGGAAGTATTCCTTCCCTTTCAATTTCATTGAAGAGTTTAAGGAGTACTGGAGTTACACTGTCCCTGAAGGTCTTATAGAATTTGGCAGTGAATCCACTGGGTCCTGGGCTTTTCTTAATTGGTAAGGATTTTTTTTCTTCCCTCAGCTTTCTTGTCTGTTATTCTATTGTTCAGATTTTTGTCTTATTGGTTCATTTTTGGTAATTTATATGTGTTTGGGAATCTGTCCACTTCTTCAAGGTTGTCCAATATTTTGGAGTACAATTTTTTCATAGCAGTTATTAATGATCTTCTGGATTTTGGTGGTGTCCATTGTGATTTCAGATATTGCTCCTGTCACATTCTCCTTTTTATCTTATGGATATGAAAAAACTATATTAGACATACTATGTTCCTTTTCCCCTCTTTTTGCTGTTTCACCTTTTTTCTCATTCTTGATATTTTCTTCTGGCTTATCTCTCAGTTCTCTAATTTTTCTTCTAGGTAGTTTCCCTACTAATAAATCTATCCATTAAATTATTAATTCAATTACTTGTCAGTTCTAAACATCCTATTTTTTCTTATTTTCTAAGTCACATTTTATTTTTTTCCTGTGCTCTGTAGATTTGTGTTTGTCTTTTCTCCTCCCTGAACATAGTGAGATAATTGTTTTACCTTCCAAACCTAACAATGATAGTATTTGGAATCTTTGGGCATCTGACTTTATGTTTTCTTATTTATTCAGCTACTTCTTGCTCAAGATGTTTTGTTTCTTTATGTGCCTGATTGTATCCAGTGCTAGTAATTATACTTGAATTTATTTGTATATTGGCATTTTCTTCTGCTGGCCAATTGGGGTACTGTTAGCCAGGACCATTTTACTTTAAATTCAATTGCGAGGCAGGATATAAGAATGATATAAGCTAATGAGGGCTGGTATTTTAATAATTCTCACTTTTCTAAGCATATACTATGAGCCTCTGTTATGGCTTGTGTCTAGATGTCCCCCAAAGCCTCATGCAGTCATAAGTGGGGCTTTTTTAAGAGGTGGCTGAATCTAGAATGCGTGACTAATTAATGGTGGGGTGCTGGGATTTAGGGTGGGTGATTACTAAATCTGTCCACTGATTGGTTTGGCATCACCCTGATCTCAGTAGCCTGAATACAATGTAAGGGATAGAAAGAAAGAGCCTTGTCTTGTCCCTTAGTGCTTTGCCACCCTCTGCCTGCCATGAACTATTCTTCTCTGCGATACCACCCTGCCTTCAAGCCAGCCTATTATGGACTGAAACCTCTACAAACAGTGAGCTAAATAAACCTTTCCCCCCTTAACTATGGGTGTTGTGGACATTGTCTCAGCAAGGAGAGAACCTCCCAGGTTATTAGCCTTCATGTTGTGTGTAAGCCTGGACTTTAATTTCGGTTGCCCTTAATCCCTGAAAAATACAAAAATGGAAATTCATATTATAAGGATTAGCAGAAACAATCAGGAAAAATGTAACTTTTGTGTCTATCCCTCTGGAGTTTTATATTTTCCCTTCAGCTTGGGTCTTCAGTTCTTAATATTATGTCAGTTCAATGATTTTTTTTTTTAAACTTCAAAAAATACCTTATTTGGTGATCGGAGTGATTTTCATCAGGTAGAAGATTGTTTCAAATAACCTAATACACCATTAGCAGAAATTTGAAATCCTCATCTTTTCATAGGCAAAAAAAAGTATTTCTTTCTTGATTTATGATGTCTAGAGTTTGAGGGATAGTCACATCAGTATTCTGTAGATCTGCTCTATTTTCTTTTTCCTCTTCCTCTTCCTCTTCTTCCTCATCTTCTGTCTTCTCCCTCTCTCTTTCTCAACCCTCCCTCCCTCCTTTCTTTATCTTTTTCTTTTTGTTGTTGATTCTTTTGAGCTTACATAACCTTACAGACATTTTGAAGAACTCACTCTCCTTTCCCAGTGGCCACCTATGAAGAGATCCCTGAATTTGCAACTCTTCTGATTCTTATCTGCAGATGCTGATGAATGGCAGGAGGCAGAGGAACATGTTGAACATGTCCTATTCTCCCACACCCGGTATCCTGAGAAGGAAATGGTTAAGAGGTCTCAGGACTTTTATGAACTTCTCAGTAAGAGACGGTCAGTCAGGTTCATAAGTGATGAGCGAGTCCCCATGGAAGTCATTGATAATGTCATCAAAACAGCAGGTTAGTAATTGCATGTTAGGTCTTTGAGAATGTCAGCTGCCTTAATAGAGCAAAGTATTGGAATAATATTGAAATTCAGACACATGAATAAAGGTGAGAGTGATAAATTTATCTGTTACACCTACTGTACTACAAGTCTACTATGCTATAGGGTGGTAAGGAACTAGCAAAGTTTACCCATCTGAATTTGCAAAGTAAGCCAAGCCAAGACCAACTAATTTGCAATGAAAATTAATATCTCTGTAGGAGAAGGGAGTGAGAGCTACAGAAAAAGGAGAAAAGTTGTAAGAATAAGTCTCCTGAGTGTTCCTTCTAGTCATTCTTACTCTTACCTAAATCATATTTAAGTTCATTTGTAGAAGTTATTGTATATTCCTTGTGACTCTTTTGTCTAATTTAAAAGGAAACAAGTATACAACATTTTGTTTCAGTTAAGAATACAACTGCAAGCTGAGCATGGTGGAGCATGCCTGTAATACCAGCATTCAAGAGGCTGAGGCAGGAGGATCGCTTCAAATTTGAGGCCAGCCTGGGCTACATAGTGAGTTTAAGGCCAGCCTAGAATATATAATGAGACCCTGTCTAAAAAAAAAAAGAATACAACAGTATTAGATTGTTGAGTGCTTTAACTAGCCACAGTCACTAAATTTTTTGTTTATATCTGTATAGGTGTGTGTGAACATATGATGTTATGGTATATTTGGTATAATTTGCCAGAGAGAAATTATTAATTTACTATATTTAGAGATACAACTATTTAGTGAACAAATATGGGCACAAAGTTCACAGAAATTGCTGTGCAGAAATGTCCATCTCCTGCTTAGCTTTTGACTTTCCTTTGACAACCTATGATGACTTCTGCTGTTGTGAGTGATCGGTGGCGACTAAGACCGCACACCGAGAGTCCAGAAGCCTCACTCCCTCCCCAGGTAGAACTTATTGCACTAAACTACTCACTAGGAAGGAGGAAATCATTGCTTCTGAAATATCCCACTGCAGGTCACTGTGGCCCATCCTTGGGAACAGTGGGCCATCTCTTGACCATGGGGTGGCTCCAGTCCCCCCTGGAGGGTCACAGGGAATTCACGCTCCTTCGATGAAGGGGTGCCCTAGGGAGGGGAGCCGACCCGGCTGTGGGCTGAAGTTCCTGTGCCCACAGGAGCAGAAATGTTCTCTGTTATGCTGAATTCCCAAGAAGATCCCAACTCTGACAATGTCAGACTCAGAGCCACGACAGAGGCACTAAATAATGTATAAGTTATATATAATATATAATAATGTATAATATTCATTGCCTTTTGAGGAATAATTTAGAAATCATTTTACCATTGATATTTTGCCATCCCCAGTAAGATCCACGACCATGTTTTTTTTCACGAATATCAGAACAAATGGCATTTTGGTGAATTGGAGCCTTCACATCCCACTGAGTTTCCCTATTGGTGGTGGTGCAATTACTTAGGGATGTTTTTCCCCCTCAAATTAAGAAGCAGGGATGAGTTCCCATGGTTCAGAGACACCTGCAGTGAAACAGAAAGCAAAGGAGACCACAGCTGCAAGCGGGTCTACCAGCAGGCACTTTCCTTCCCCGATCAGCTAACTGCATTTTGAGCAAGAGTGAAGTGTTATGTTTACTCAGAGTGAGCAGCCTCGCACTGCCCCGTAGTTTTAAAGTCTGATTTTAATTTAATGGGTGCTAGGAACAGCCCCAAGTGGGGCCCACACAGAGCCATGGACCTTTGTGGTCGTGAAGGACCCAGATATGAAGCATCGGATCCGAGGGATCATTGAAGAGGAAGAGAAAATAAACTACATGAAAAGAATGGGACCCCGCTGGGTTACAGACCTGAAGAGACTGAGGTACCAAGGCGGCAGGCTGGGATGTTTGGTTTGACTTCCCAAAAGGAAATAACTGCAGTTTGTTGGGTTTTTAAATGATATTTTACATTCGATTAACGCGTATTCACTGTGCATAATAATGTGGTTCAGTGGGGCTTTTCAACACATCCACTAATCAGCTCTCATCCTGGTTTTCAGTGCCAAAAAATTTAGATTCTATTTCTGGAAGAAATTATGAAAATTAAGTCAGGCCTCACCCCTGACTTAATTTATGAGTTCTGACCCAGTTAATAACTTCTTTAATAAAACTCTGAAGAATCACTTCAGTTTTCATCCATCTGGATGACAACATTGGGAAATACTTTTCAAACTATTGATGAAGCAAATCACATTTTACTAAAGTGATCAGGTCCTACACACACATGGATCACTAAGCAGTTCGAGGACCAGTTAATTCCAGCAAATCTTTTGGGCATTGTTAATAACTATGGGCTCCAAAAGGGAAGCAGAGTGGAATCAGTGTAACCACAGGGTGATGATGTTGACTCTCACTTCTCAGAAGACTGAGCAGAGAGGCCATTTAAATATGAAGGCACCTAATACCCTGTCTCTACTGTGGGCCTTCCCTGGCCAGTTGTGGCACCTGCCATCCAACATCCCACGGTGTTAGTAGCCAAAGAAAGGGTAACAAGGTCTCAGTCTTGAGGGTACAATGGGACTTCTTGCCCAGGTGTTAGAGGTAGAGGAGGACAGGCTGGTCTCTCAGCTCTACTTTTGTTTTATTTAATGTCCCCAGAAGACAATTTTCTCCTAAGATACATCTACAGATTTGTAACTTATTCTCATGCTCTGGAACAAGTATAGGATATTAATGATGAATATAAATCTGACTGCATATTTTAGGGAAAGAATGGGATAAGTAAAGATCAAGTTGCGTTTCCATACTTAGAGAGCTGTACTCTGGATATGCACACCACCTACAGAACACTATTGCTCTTCTCACTCCCCTTGACCAAGGCAGGATGAATTTCTGTCTTATTTCGGCACCCAATACCTCACATACACCTTCCATACATCCAAAATAGCCAGTACCACACAGCATTTTAATGATTGCTTTACTTTTCTTTTGATATTATAGACCATTTTTAAGAAATCTATACTCTAAGAATCCAGGTAAGTCATACACTTTCTCAACCAACAATATATATGCACACATACGCACACACACACATACACACACACACACTGTTGTAGGGATCTAACTTGAGTTTAAAAAGCCTCACACCTAGCACCAGTCTGATGCAAACAGGTAACAAATACATTAAGCTGAATGACAAATGAGCATATGCCTGTTTTCCTGTTCAAGGCAATTCTGAAGTCCATAGCTGTTATTAATTCCCCATACATAACATACAGCCAACTTATCTTATAACTCTTATCTCCTCTGCCTTGCTGGCAGGAGAGCTCACCCAGCCAGAAGGTGCCAGGTGTCCTTCTTTTAACAGTGCTGCTTGCTATCTTTTTTTTTTGTACCAGGGGTCGTCAAACTCAGGACCTTGCACTTTCCAGGCAGATGCAGTGCACTGAGCTAAATTCCCAGCCCACTGCTGTCTTTTTAAAAGCTCTAATACAATGTTATAACAAATATTTTGAATATCTAAAATTTAATTAATCAGAAAGCTACCAATGTTTGCTTAGGCAAAGTAAGTGGTACAAAGATACTATAAATGATTCGGCTGCCTTAGAATATAGATAAACTGCTTAATCTTCATCTGATACTTTAAAATTTACATTACTTTACTCCCTGTATATTTTATATGCTTTTAGAAATTACTTTTAGGGTCACGAATGTAGCTCAATGGTGGCCCACCTGCCTGGCAAACACAAGGTCCTGAATTCAATTCCTGGTACTAAAAAATAAAATAAAATAAAATAAATAAATACATTTATTTTAATATAAAAATCAGAATTTAAATCATGAAAATATCAATGCAGAATTCAAGTTCCTCTAACAGAACCCACTTTGGAGAACACACACAGCTCTCTCTTAGCCTCATTCAACTCACCTGACACAACAAGTTTGGGAGGGAAATGGAAAGCTGCTGCCTGGTCTACTCAGTCCTTAAAGGTACCATCAATGTGTGTTTCAGAGGGATTTGAGAGCACTAGAAATCAAGTGAGTAAAAAAAATCAGATTAAAATAATCTCTTTTATATTAATATTTCTTTTATATTAATATGATTTAAAAGTTTGTACCCAGGCATGGTAGCACATGATTGTAATCCCAGCACTCTGGGAGGTTGAGGCAGGAGGATTACAAGTGTGAGACCAACTGGGTCAACTTATCAACTTAGTGAGACTCTGCCTCAAAAAATGAAAAAGGGTTAGAGATGTAATTCAGTGCAAAGGCCCTGAGTTCACCCTTCAAGACTATCATCAATCAATCAGTCCCTGACATTTGTGTCAGTAAAAGTCACTTTATGTATTTTAACTTATTTCACCCTCATGAGAACCATATGAGATGGGTCACAATAGTACGTCTTCCATATGAAGAAACTGAGCCACAGAGGTTAAGTATCTTACGCAAATGGCCAAGGTAGTCCAGCTCCAGAGTCGATTTTCTAAGCCATTAACATTCTGCTTCTCTGTGGAACCAAAAGAATCAGTTAACAGTCAAGTGGGCCCAACCTCATCAGAGTATGGTAAAGTGGCTTTGAGAGTGAAACCCAGATGCTTTAATAGAATAAGAGCCAACAAAAAGTACACACACTGCCGGGCATGGTGGAGCATGCCTGTAATCCCAGCACTTGGGAGGCTGAGGAAGGAGGATTGCTGTGAGTTTGAGAACAGCCTGGGCTACACAGTGAGTTCCAGGTCAGTCTCAAAACCTCATCAGAGTATGGTAAAGTGGCTTTGAGAGTGAAACCCAGATGCTTTAATAGAATAAGAGCCAACAAAAAGTACACACACTGCCGGGCATGGTGGAGCATGCCTGTAATCCCAGCACTTGGGAGGCTGAGGAAGGAGGATTGCTGTGAGTTTGAGAACAGCCTGGGCTACACAGTGAGTTCCAGGTCAGTCTCAACTATACAGTGAGACCCTGTCTCAAACAGTGAAGCATAATTAGGCTAAGGATGACCTGAACAGTTGCCAGCTCTTGCTAATTAAGGACACAGCATATTCTAAGGAATCATTCCAGAATACTGGAGTGCATGACTTTACTGAGTTATTTCTCTCCTATGAATATCTGTTCTAGAATGAAAGTTTTACCAAAATGTATGTGGCATGGGGATGGAACCAAGAGAGAGATTTTGAACTGGAAAACAAGTATTTCAGTTCCGCATTTACACTGCCCATGAAGGATCTCTTGCTACCTCAAACATTCCTTTCTTTTTTCTGTAACTGGACTAACAGCGTTTCACTGAAATCCCTCGCCATCGCTGTCAGTGTCGCTGTCACCTCCTCCCCCACCCCTGTACTGGACTCTGATTCTGTTGCTCCAGCCCCACACCTCTCTCCATTCTCCTGTGCTTGGCCTTTCTTTGCCCACCCTCCTTCCTGGGCTATTGCTGTGGTCTCCTGACAGGTTTTCCTTTCTCTGGGAAGACTTTGTACTTGGTATTCAAAATACTGCCCTTGACGATCTCGGTCTCACCGATGTGCCCATCCGCTTTGTGAAACCTGCCGGCTCCTGTGATTCTTCTGCCCGGAGCCCGGGATGTCTCTTAGATACACACTGGGGCCAGGTCCTGTCAGCCTGTGGTGTCCCCGTCGTGTCCAGCCACGCATCCCACCGTCCAGCCCTTCCGGCTGCTGGAGATTCCTGTGGTGCGGTGCCTCCTTTCTGACTGTGCCTTAGCTCATGTCTCCGCTCTGCCTGCCCCCCCCACCTACTCCACCTGGTCTTCAGAGCCCAGCTTGAGGTCATTTCTGGGGTCTTCTCCCCGTACTCTTCAAAATTAACATTAAGATTCTCAAGTGTTCCCAAAACGATGGGTTTCTATTTCTTTAGAAGCACTTACCAGGCTTCCTTTTGTAAATAAATGTTGGCTTAGTGCTCTCTGAGTTAGTGTGTCTTTGTGTCTTTCAGTAACTTACAAAGGCATGTTATTGAATTGATAAAGTTGGACAAAAAAAAATGAATAAGACACACGCACTCAAAAAACTACCCCTTTTCAATATAAATATAAAAGACAAGTTAACATGTTTTCATTTTTATCATAAATAAGCTAAGATAGTAAAAGAAAACAAAAACATTGAGCAAATATCCTCCTGAATCTCACCCGTCCCCAGAACCAATTGGATCAAAGAGTACTTGGACAGTGCCCCCGTTTTGATTCTCATTTTCAAGCAAGTGCATGGTTTTGCTGCTAATGGCAAGAAAAAGATTCACTACTACAACGAGATCAGCGTCTCCATCGCCTGTGGCATCCTGCTCGCTGCCCTGCAGGTACGCTGCCTTCCCTCAGCCCGAGGGACACTGGGGAGATGTGGGGGTCTCAAGTGGGCTATTAGGAAACTTCGCCGAGTTTACCACGCAGGTCATCTGGAAATGTTTGTCTAAAGTTGGATTCCTAAGTAAGGTAATTCTGATGTGGAGACCCACCCTGGAAACCTGGAGTGGTGAGAGTGTTGGTCCAGCCAGCTGGAAACCTTCTTAGAAACTCACTTGTCACTCATTTCAGGATCAGAAAAAATGTTGCTGCATTAGCTACCTGTCTCACCACATGTAGTTTACGCGGCCTGGCAGATGGTGTGAGCAGAACTTCAGCACCAGAAAGTCACAGAGACTAACTCCCTAGGTGTTTGTACTTTTGCGGATGAAAGGACCAAAGAGCTGTAAGGAGGGCTCTGTCTCAGAGCACATTTCCTGAGAAGCTGGGTTTGCCCGGCATTTGAGAGACTGCCATGGGCTTCCCAAACTTCCCAAATACATAGCAGCCAGGGCAATGTCAACAGCAAGTGGAACAGGACTGTGCTCTGCCTTTCAAACCCTTCAGTTCATTCACTCCACAAATACTCCCTGAGCTCCTTACAGGCGACATTTCTGGAAGGCACTGACAATGGTTGTCTCATGAACTGTACATTCTGGTGGGGCCAGGGGTCCAGGTAGGAGATACAGAGAAATGGTGAATGCACTCAATAAAAAAGCAAACAAGATTGTAAGAGTGGATGATCTTACATTCAGGGAACAATTTATTTCACAAGCGCGTGCACACACACGCACACACGCACACTTCTAGGTTATCTCAATGAAAAATCTGGTCACTGTTGCATAAAAGAGAAAAATGCTTTTAGATTACTTCAAAAATTGTCTCGAAGAAGCTAGCATTTGTCTTCATTCCTGAATCTGTAAGCAGACAAATGAAGAAGTCCCCATGCAGCCTTCAGACCACACAGGAAGTAGCTCAGTTCAAGGTATTGGGGGCCTCAGAAGCTCAAGGGCACGGCCACTATACAGCACTGTGGAGTGTGCTGCCCTCTAGCGTTCCTTTGGCATAATTCTGAGGATGGGTCTTCGTTAGTGAGGAGAGAGATCAGGAACACCCCACCACACACACACCCAGAACTCTGCCAAGCAGGATGTAGGGAGCAGCTCCTCACCCATCTGGGGGTGGCATCTGAATGGGAAAGCATGGGTAGTGCAGGGGGCAACTGGAGAAGTGCTTGAAAGCTACACGTTGTTTCCATTTAGATATTTATCACTTGGAGATCAGTGAGGTATTTTCCTCTACACTCAGTGTGCCCTTCTGCCCCTGTTGCCCTATCACTGGAACTAGGGTCCTCACCAGGAGCGAGTCACACCTTCCACCATTGGTTCTGTAGCCACAGACATTCCCTGTGCTTCTTGTCATTTGGAATAAAATATAGAAATCTTTCTTAATACATTAAATATCAAGACCTACTTACTAGTCAGTCTACAATTTTAAAGTAAAGGAATATAATGATATTTTAATGTCTATGGCAATTGTAGAGTGATATATGAAAATATCTGTGAGCTTTATTAGTGACAGATCATAGACACTGTTACTACTGTGATTTGTTGTCTATATTGAGAATGATGTGTGTGTGAGTGTGTGTGTGTGTGTGTCGCTGTATTTATGTTTTCAATTTCACAGACTTGCTGAGTTCAATCTTTTGTCCTTTGGGGGATCTGAGGACTTGAGGTTTAAAAAAATAAAACTTGACCTATGTTAAGACCAAAGTACTCACATCAAGAAAAAATGAAAGATAAAATACTAACAGAAACCAGTTTTAAGGGCCAGGGATTTAGCTCAGTAGTTCCACCGCCTGCCTCACAAGTGCAAGGACCCAAGTTTGATGATACCCAGTACCAAAAGAAAAAAAAAGAAAAGAAAAGAAACCAGCTCTAGAGTAGCAAATTGACTTGTTTAATATGTTCTATATAGTCACAAATTTCTCCTGTAAAGATATACAAACTTCAGTGTGGAGTAAAAGCTATGTTTCAAAAGATGACCAATACATGAAATGACACCAAATTAAGTACTTTCTCATTGAAAAGTTTAAGATTTAGCCCTTCTAAATTCAAGTACTATGTTAAGATCTTATAAAGGAAGAGAAGTCCTATAATGAAGTAGAGACCATTCAAGCTCATGAAGAGGAAATCGAGAGATTACTCCAATGTGTGTATCCTTGAAAACAGTCCCTCCAGCAACACAAACTGATGAACCTGAGTTTGTAGTGATGTACAGGAGAGCACTTTAGAAGAGGCCATATTAAGCCACTTCAGCCCCTTAGACATTGATGGGTCAAATGCTAGTATGACAGATTGATAATAAACTGCAGTCAGATAACTGGAGTCCAGGAAAGGATATTTGGTAGGAAAACTGCAGCAGATTAGGGCTAGGACCCTTTGGCAGCCTGCTGTTATCACTTAGATCATATCACAGAGAGAGCCTGATTGCTTGGGTAAAAGGAACTCCCGACTGTTTTATTTCCTTGCTGTAGTTGGATTCCTCAAATTTCTCTTCCTAAAGTAACTATTCCTATTTCTGAAGCATATTGAAAAATAAGACTAGCATTTTTCTTTTTCCAGAAGCTTCCAACTTCTCTGTTAAAAGAAGGCAGGGGGTAGGAAGGTCTAGGAGTGCAGGTGAGCTTTAGAACACCATCACCGGAGCCACCAGCACCACTTCAAGGAAGTGGGAAAAGCAGGCAGGTGCCTGAGGATGAGAATGTCATGTCCCCGCACTGGCCGAAGAGCTGAGATTTGCCTCTAACTTTAAAATGCACCCCTTCCCTCTCCCATTTCAGAATGCAGGGCTGGTGACGGTCACTACCACTCCCCTCAACTGTGGCCCCCGGCTGCGGATGCTCCTGGGCCGCCCTCTACGCGAAAAGCTGCTGATGCTGCTCCCGGTGGGCTACCCCAGCAAAGAGGCCACGGTGCCCGACCTCAGACGGAAGACGCTGGATCAGATCATGGTGACGGTGTAGGCAGAAGCCTGCCCCGGAGACGCTTGTCCTGGCCGCTGTTTCCCTCTCTCAGTGCAAGCCTGTTCTGCACTGTGACTCACAGCGGAGGCTACCTGAGGACCAGCGCGCCTTCTCTTCCCTTCCCTTCCAGAGCTTTGTGTGCAGTGAGTCCTCCTCAGGCACGCGGGGAGCAAGGGATCGGCAAGCCCGTGTGCTTCAATTTCTTTTTCTTTTCTTTTTAGGTAGTTTGTTCGGATCCTTTTTTAAAATTTTATTTTATTAGTACATTTTAGATATGCACAATGGTGACATTCATCCTAGGGAATTTGTACCCGTACACGATACCTCTTCCTTTTTTTCCCCTTTCTCTTTCCCTCTTTTCAATTCCTCTTCCTCTCTTTGGTTACAAGAACTTTGCTTCCATTTTTTCTTTATATTCGCTCTTTTTCTTCTTTTGCCCTGCCCCTCTCCCTTGTTTCCCTTCCCATTTGAATGTTTGCTTCCCGTTTCCCAACATCTATTGTACATTTTGGTCCTTATTTACACTATCAGTTTCTCACACCAGAGAAACAGTGTAATATTTAAACATGTGTGTCTGGCTTATTTCACTTAAGAGTATAGTCTCAAGGTGCATCAAGCTTATTCTTTTTATAGCAGAGTAGTATTCCATTGTATAAAAAATACATCTTCTTTATTCATTCATCTGTTGATGGGCATTTGGGCTGTTTCCAAGATGTAGCCATCATAGACTGTGCCACTATAAACATCGTTCGTGTGCATATATTGCTGTGATATGATGCCCCCTTTTTTGTTTTGTTTTTTGTTTTTGGTACCAGGGACTGAACTCAGAACCTTGCCCTTGCCAGGCAGGTGCTGATATGCTTTTAATTCTTCCAGGAAGATATCAAGAAGGGGAATAGCTGGGTTGAATGGAAACTCTGGTTTCAGCTTTTTGAGGAATTTCCATACTTGTTTCCACAGTGGCTGCACCAGTGTGTACTCCCACCAAACCTGGAAAAGGGTACCTTTTTTCCCCACACCCCCTCCAGCATTTGTTATTAGTTGACTTCTTGATAATAGCCATTCTTCCTGGAGTGAGATGGATTCTCGGGGTAATTTTAACTTGCATCTCTCAAAAAAATAAGATGTTGAACACTTTTGCATATATTTATTTCTTCATCTGAGAAGTGTCTATTCATTTCAAATGTCCAGTTTTGGATTGGGTGTTTAAATTTGGGGGGAGGGTCTGGTTTTTGTTTGTTGTTGGTTTTTTTTTTTTTTTTTTAGTTCTTTATTCTAGATATTAGTTCTTTGTTTGAGGAACAGCTGGCAAAAATTTTTTCTCACACTGTGGGCTGTCTCTTCATGCTGTTGGTGGTTCCCTCTGTTGTACAAAGCCTTTTAATAAAATGAGGTCTCAATTGTTGATTCCTTGTGATATTTCCTGTGTAATTAGAGTTTTGGTTATAAGTCTTCAAGAGTTCCACCTATTATATCTGACAGCAGACTTAGTGTTTATGATTTAATATTTAGATCTTTGATCTATTTCTATTTTAGCTTAGTGCATAGTGAAAGATATGGGTCTAGTTTTAATCTTCAGCATGCGCAAAGCCAGGTTTTCCAGTATCATTTATTAAAAGGCTGTCTTCCTTCCAGCTAAGGTGTTTGGCTACTTTGTCAAAGATAAGGTGGACATTCACACTCCACTGAATGTGTTTGGAGTTCTCCTTGCATTTTCTAATCTGTTCTATTGATCCTTGGGTCTTCCCTCCACCCAGTACTATGCTGTTTTAATCACAGTAGCTTTGTAGTATAGTTTCAAGCCAGGGATTGTGATGCCCCCTGCCTTGCCTTTGTTGCTCAGAGTTGCTTTTGCTATTCATATCTCTTCTGATTTCTAATGAATTTTAGGATTATTTTCTCTAATTCTGTGAGATATGCTATTGGTATTTTGATTGCATTAAATCTGTATAACAATTTGGAAGTATAGCCTTTTTCACTATGTTGGTTCTTCCTACCCAAGAACAAAGGATATCTTTCCATTTTCTGATAGCTTCTTTGAATTCCTTTTTCAAAGTACTGTAGTTTTCAATGTAAAGTTTTTACTTCATTAGATTGATTTATAGGTATTTCATTTTTTTGGATGCTATTGTGAAAGGTGCTGTTTCCTTAATTTCTCACACAGTGAGTTTGTTATTTGTGTACAGGAATGTTATTGATATTTGAGTGTTGATTTTGTATTTGATTCTGCATCTGATCCTGTGGTTTTTTTGTCCCTGCCTCTGTTAATATGGTTTACTACATTTATTGATTTTTATATGTTGATCCATACCTGCTTCATTGGATGCATCATACTAGTATATTCTGCTTTATAATTTGTTGCATTCTATTTGCCAGTATCTTATTGAGGGTTTTGCATCTATGTTCATTAGGGAGATTGGCCTGTAGTTCTATTTTTTGGTTGGATCTTTCTCTGGTTCTGGTATTGTGAGGACCAAGTTTTCAGGTCAAGGTGGGCTCCATGCCCCTTACCCAAAATAGAGTAAAATGCAAAAGTTCCTTTCTGAAAAATTCCATTCTATGTGACAGTTTCTCTGCACTTTGGTTCCTCTTTTAGGGCATCTTCACTCTGCTTCTGTTCCTCTTTTTAAAATGTTAAGGTTATTTTTGTGTGATTTAATTAATATAGGAATTAGTTATAGCTGACATAGGAATTAATTATAGCTGACATAGATAGTTATATACCTTAGCTAGCAAAATCAGATGAAAAAGAGGAATTAATTCTGCAAATGTAGGCATTAGGTAACTTTCCAATACGTACCCTCCCAGTACCCCTTGATGATTTTGCAAATGTAAGCATTACGTAATGCTCCAATGTGCCCTCCTGGTGCCCTTGATTGTCCCATGATAAGAGAGAACTAAAAATAGCAATTATAAGCAGAAAAATCCTATATAAACCCACTTCAAAAATGGATCTGGGCTCTCAGTCAGAAGCCGCTATGACGGTGACACCTGAGAGTCCAAGCTTGAGCTTGCAATAAACTCCTCTTGCAGTTGCGTAGGACCTGACTCCTTGGTGGTCTTTGGGGACTTCGCGACTTGGGCATAACAGTATCAGGGCAATATTTGCTTCCAGGAATGAATTTGGGAGCATTGCTTCCCTTTCCATTTCATTAGAGTTTGAAGATTAGTGTCATTAAATATTCCCCAAATCTCTTATAGAATTCAGCTGTGAATCTGTCAGGGCCTGGGCTTTTCTTTGTTAGTAGGTTTTTAATTATATCTTCAATTTCATTGCCTGATATTAGCTTACTTAGAATTTTTATATTTTTTTTGGTTCAGCTTTGGTAATTCATATGTATCTAGGAATCTGTCCATTTTTTCTGTTTTCCATCTTATTGGAATACAGGTTCTTGAAGTAGGTATTGATGATCTTCTGGATTTCTGCAAGATCTGCTGTGATTTCACCATTTTCATTCCTAACTGCAGGGATTTGAGTCTCTTTTTTTCTTTTTTTTATAATCTTGGCTAAAAGTTTGTCAATTTTATTTAATCTTTCAGAGAAATGACTCTGATTTATTTATTCTTTGTATTATTTTTGCCTCAATTGTATTAATTTCTGCTCATATTTTCATTAATTTCCTCCCTCAAATAAGCTTGCTCTTCATTTTCGGGAAGCTTGAGGTTCAACATTAGGTTGTTTATTTGAGCTTGCTGTTCTTTTCTTTTCTTTCTTTCTTTCTTTTTTTTTTTTTTTTTTTTTTTTTCTTTTTTTTTTTTTTTTTTTTTTTTTTGGTACCAGGGATTGAACTTAGGTCCTTACACTTGCAAGGCAGGCCACCGAACCACTGAGCTAAATCCCCTGGCCCCTTGCTATTTTTCTAATATGGGAATTCACCACTATAAATTTCTCTCATAGGACAACTTTCAATGTGCCCCATAAGTTCCAGTATGTTGTATTTGCATTATCACTTAATTATTGAAGCTGTCTAATTTCTTAATTTCATTTGTGACCCATTGGTTGTTCAGAAGGGTATTATTTAATTGCCATGTGTTTATAAAGTTTTTATGGTTTCTTTTGCCGTTGATTTCCACTTTCTTTACACTATACTTTATAATATGCAAGGGATAATTTCACTTCCTTTGCATTTACTTAAGCATGTTCTGAGTTAGTATGCAGTCTATTTTGGAAAGCATCCTGTCTGCAGCTGATAAGAATGTATATTCTGATATTGTGGGGGTGGGACACTCTGTAGACAACTACTAAGTAAACATTTCTTCAAAAGTTTGGTTCAGTTCTAATACTTCTTTATTGATTTGTTTTTGCCTCATTGATTTATTTGTGACAGTAGGGTATTGAGGCCCCCCATGACAATTGTATTTATGTTTATCTGATTTTTCTTTTTTGGTACCAGGGATCGAACTCGGGTCCTTGTGCTTGCAAGGCAGGCCACCAAACAGCTGAACTAAATCCCCAGCCCTGTTTATTTGATTTTTCATATTCATTAATATTTTTGTTTTATATATGTGGGTATGCTGGTATTTGGTGCATATATATTTAAGATTATTATCTCTTCCTCTTGGATTGTTCCCTTTACAAGGATGTAGTGACCTTCTTTGTCTCTCATAATCAATCTTGGTTTGAAATCCACTTTGTCTGCAAATAGAATAGCTACCCCTGCTTTTTTCTGGGTTCCTGTTGCAAGAAGTATTGTTTTCCATCCTGTGACTTTCAGCCTATGAATTTCTTTTTAAATTAAGTGTGTTTCTTGTATGCAGCATATTTTTGGATCTTGCTTCTTCATCCATTCTGCCAGTCTGTTTATTTTGATTGATGAATTAAATAATTTTCATTGATGTTATAACTGATATGCATTGATTTATCCTTGTCATATTATTTTCTTGGCTTTGGTTCCCTTTTTTCCCTTCTGTTTAATTACTTGCCTTGCTTGTGGATTCATTCTGTTTAGGTTTATGGAGTTGTAGTCCTTGTTATCTCTTTCTAGAATATCCTTCAGAACATTTTGGAGTGCCAGTTTGGTGGTCATGAATTTCTTCAGGTGTTGTTTGTCATGGAAGTTATCTTATTTTGAAAGATAGTTTTGTGGGATACATCAATCTGGACTGGAGGTTGTTTTCTTTTAGGGTTTAACATACTTCACTCCAGGTTTGTGTTGAGAAATCCGCTGTGATTCTGATGAGGTTTCCTTTATTTATAGGTGATATTTCTTTTTTCTAACACCTTTTAATATTCTGTTCTTGATTTGAATTTCT